ACCAAGATTAACTCTAATACATCTACACCTCGACCGATAACCAGTGGTGTTGTGCAGGGTAGTGTCTTGGGTCCATTGCTCTTTATAATCTACATCAACAATAAATGCAGGTGTTTCAGCACAGGTAAGACCTACCTCTATGCCGATGACTTAAAAGTCATCTATAAAACTGACATTTGCGATTTACGCAGTACTATGCAAACAATCCAACATGAACTCAACATGGTAGATGACTGGTGCAAACGCTGGAGGTTAGAGCTCAACATAGAGAAATGCGGCTGGTTATGTATAGGAGACACGTCTCTTAAAATGAAACTAACAATTAGCGATCACACACTCCCCAGACTGGCATCAGTAACTGACCTAGGGGTACATTATTCACACAGTCTTAATTTCTCTGAACACATCTCAGCCAAAGCATCCAAAATGCGGAAATTGCTTGGCTTCATTCTCCGTAATTTCTATCAAAATGAATCTAAAATCCTTCTTTACAAAGTTTGTGTAAGACCTATCGTTGAATACTGCTCGTTCTTATTTTCCAACCTACGCCTATCTGATATACTAAAGGTGGAAGGAATACAACAAGACTTCACCCGCAAAGTACTTAAGACTGACCCGGTCATTGACTACAGTTCCCGATGCCAAATCTTAGGAATAGCACCCCTTTGGGAGAGAAGGCTTAGGTCTAATTTGATTCTCTACTTCAAACTACTCAAAAACCTTATTTACTCAACATGTCAGATAATTCTTGCCCGAGATTCACATGAATACGAACTTCGAAACAAAGTATCTACGGTCAAAGTTGAGAAATACAGATCAAAAACTCGGGAAAATTTCTTCCTCACCAAGTATGCAATAATATGGAACAGTCTTCCTTTCGAGACTCGCATGGCAGATGAACTACATACGTTTGTGAAACTGCTTGATCAAACCCTCACTCGCACTGATCTTGGACGTACGAACACATCTGCACCCCACTCAGACATCATAGGCTCTCTCCATGTCTAGACCAAAATGGACTTCAAGTTCAGTTTGCCTTATTTTTCCTACTTTGCAGTTGTATTAATTACTTTTTCCACCCCATTTCTTCACTTGAAGTAGACAGGTAACTCACTGGACCTATCATTACTGTTAAACTAAACTCGGTCGATAAGGGACACTCACTACCACCCTAAAAAGTCAAGAGGACCCCACAATCGGCTGCCTACTACCAGTGGTCTTGCATCTATGGAACCTGTTACCAATCAACTGGTTAAGACAACAGAAAATAACATCAGCACCAAGTTACTGTGAGTTCCTTCCTGTTTATCCTATATTAACTTTTTACTCTTCTGTACACTATGTTGACTAGCAATTAATATTATTTCTCCACTCGTTCCCTTATCCACAACTCATACTTCTATACTTTTTCCGCCTGCTTAAATAAACAACTATCCTACAATATACCCTTCTTAACGCTTATACTCTGTTTGGCAAACTATACTTTATACTATAGTCAACAGAGGCACTGCATCGATGCTTTACCCACAGTCCACAGCTTGTAACTGCCTGATAAGCTTGTAAAATGGTACTTATAGAAATAGTGCTTTCCAACAAGTTGTGAAACAGAGGATTGTGTGAGGTATGACGTATATACAAAAATAAGCTTAAATGAGCCTAACATCACAAAAGGAGGGAGGGTGGAGTTACTGACCAGCAAGCATTGATGGTGAGGGCGATAACTTCAATCCACCCGTGTTTGTGGGGACAGAACATTTTGTATGTATCAGGCTCTTTATAATTGAGAATAAGACAGTCAATCTAAGATATAGATTGTCTTCCTACGCTCACCACTCAGACTCATGTTTCCAATAATATGCTGGATTAGCTATTCTACTAAGACAACCTATAACATGCTAACTCGGACTTTTACACTAGGATTGCGTGGCTGACATCGGATGGACAAAAAAAGAAAAGAAAAAAGACAATAAAAGATATAGTCACTAGTATTCTTAACACTTCACCCTCTATATACACACTCTCTAATAAACCGCTTCCCTTGTACCAACCTTGACCTCCCTTCCTTTATGTGAGCTTATTCCAACTTGTTAAACATCACAACTCATTGTTCTTTATTAGTACATTCTCTAATATGGAGCCTCTGACTTCACTTCACTCTAACAAGACATAATATGAATTTATTCTAATTTATTATACCTCTGTCCGTTCTACTACACAATGTTAAGCAACCTTTGGCGTTCATATCCAAGTGCCTTGCTGCTCCTCTGTTTCTTTTTTCTCCAGAATCTTGCTCTGAGAGCACAGCTATGAAACTTTTGACGTTTGGAGCAAACTTAACGTACGCGTCCTCTCAAGGTCATAGTTTACAGCAAGTGCTCTACGATTTCACTTTATAACAACTATAAACTTAATAAGTTGGGAAGCATTTTGCGAACCAACAAATGTTGTAATTTATAGATCATGCCTGTAAAAACGGTGTGTACCTGCACATGCAGAAATATATTATTATTATTATTCAATATTTTTGTTACTAAAACAGAGCTTATGTTATAAACTACTGTTATTTGTGATAAAAAATGATTTTAAGATGCGCAAATATTTCATATATTAACATCAAACTGCCATAGAATATTTGAGAGCCCACAACTACTAAAACGTCATAACACATGACGCAGGCATAAATATTCAGTCCGTCTCTCTATCCTAGTATAAGGGATTTGGCTGCGAGTGTCCGGCAGACCCAGTAACTCTTACTCAATTGACCTGTTCTCATGCATATGACACTTGGCTAGTATGACCTTGTCAGCAAACACCTTGAATGATGAAATATCCTGGTCATCAGATTATTATGTGTGAAACTTGTAAGTTTTTTAATACCTGGCTTCAACAAATTACTGTGTAACTTGAAGGATACTCTTCAAGTTAAAAGAAGGTATGATTAAGGTCATGGAACAAATCATTTACTTTTGTAAAACGATGCGTCTGAATTGAGGTGCCATTGAAGCTTAGTAGTAGGTAAAGTTTAAATGGTTTATAAGAACGAAATAACATGGACGTAGAAGATTTGTCGCAAGTCAAACAGTTGTTCTCAGTAGTCCTACTTACTAATGAATCCAGGATTTTTTTGAAAAATTTGATAGCTCTTTGTTCCATACATTGTGAGTTTTCCATAGGCTTTTAAATCTACGAGAGACTAATGATTTTCAGGAGTTGAAAATTATTTCGATGAATGCAAGTTCTTTTCTAGGAGAGTTGAATCCAAATATGCTAAGACCACGTAACACTATTTACTAAAACTCGAAAGAGAAAAATACGAGTTGTGACTATCAGCACTTTTCGTAAAATATTTAAGGCAGGCGGCTTTAATCCAGATTTAAAAAACTTGGCTCTGTATTCATCAAAATGTTTGGAGGTATTGTGATTTTGTTGCGGCATCCAATCAAACAACAAGTCACGGGAAAAATAAGCATCGAAAGTGGTTCTGAAGTACTAGCACCGTCAATGCTGCTGTAATAATCTTTCAGTAATATTCACATTATCAGAGCAATATTAGGTTGGAATTAGTTGGCTAACAACGAACTACATTGTGAAAATGTGTAAAACACCCAAAACCGTTTGAAACAAGAATATACTTGTTTATTGGTTCACGTATATATTCATTGTACATTTTGTTCGCTTTTGGTGCCGTATCACGACACCATAACCATCAATGATATTGTTTTGTTTGTATGTATCACTTGTTTGTGTTTCAGCTTCAAGCGACCATTTGAGTCGGTGTTAGCGGTGTGTGTGTCTTGTTATGATTAAACTTGCTTCTTAAATATTCATTTTCCCATTCTAGTACAGTATGTCTCAGCTTGACAGCTGAAATTTTTTACAAGTAGTAGATTTATTAAGAAAAAATATTTTATAGTTTCATGTTGACCAATATAGTAAGTTAGTTGCTACTAACTTACACATACTAGTATGTGTATCATACGATTAAGAAATGTATTCTTATTATATCTGTGTTATACGCTGCATTTCTTTTCGAAAAGAGGGTGTATCAGTGCATCCACGGTCGTCAGGTCTATTGAAATTTGTGTCTACTATTCGTATGCCTATCTACTTTTTCACCTATCAGACATCTATAACATATTCATCATTTTCTTGCTTTTTTCCTTAAATTTTTGTATGCATAATCACTTCATATAGTTCTAATCGGTTATTTCGAGTTTACTATCTCTTTTTTCATCAGTTACTCAAGTTCTGTTAGGCGTTTTACTAGTTTCCTCTAATCTTATTTAATAAAACTGACAAGTTCCATACCTATACGTTTTCTGGTGAAATAAAATCGCACGAAACGAACTACACGCTGTGATTTTATAATCCGACACTATGGAGGTGTTGATTGTCTTGAATTACCGTGTCTGGCCCCTTGCATATATCAGCACCTCAAATATGAGAGACTTTGGAAATGCTTAAAGATTGTGACATCTCATCGTGGGCTGATAATTTGGTCAACACTTTAGAATGTCGTACTGTAAACGTTAAAAATGGTCATCAACCTCATTAAGATTCCTGACAGGTAATAAAATACTTGGCTTTTGTTAGTTCAAGGTGCGTTTCAGAGGAAATTTTTTATTTTTAACTTATCTATGGTAGATGGCATTTCATTTAACCTTCTCTAATAGTTTCTTTTTGATGTATATCATGAATGTAGCTTTTCTATACAATAATATCAGTTCTCTTTTCAGATATCACGTATAGGAAATACTTTTTATTGAGATATAGTGCAAGTTCGCTGATCAGCACTGTATTGTGGAAAATATGCTTTCTTAATTTTCCTCTTTAATGGTATAGTTTGAAGATCATTTAAGACATATCTTCCATAAAAATATCCGTATTGTATGTTATTGTAGGTTTTACATTTATGGTATTACTTTGGAACTTTAATACTTTCTAAACGGATATTAGTAATTATTGCGATTATTTTTACAATTTTACTAGGCATTTAGAGGATGCTTTATATAGTTATCGCTACTGCAATTATCGTTATTGGATTCTGTATTTACAAACGTAAATCTAATAAAGTCACATTTCCTCTTGACTGCTTTTTAAATGAGCAGTCTACAGCTCTCGATTACGAAGTACGTTTACCTGATTTCCTTGGTATTTTATGTTTATTTTTCAAGAATAACCTTATATTGTATAGTTTGGTCACTGAATAAATCATCGGTTATTGTCCTGTTTATGAATAAACATCATGAAACATGTTTTTGTCGTTTAAGTTGGTGGTTTATGAAGATATTCATGATTTGAAAGTGGTTTTCTATCACCAGTCGGCTTCATCTGGGAAAATATATAGCTGTGAATCAGTGTAAAGCTGTTTCATCAATTCTCTGCATAAAGTAAGTCTTCTCAATTCCTGGTTTGAGGCCATAACCTGTTCATTCAACTACGTCTAAGTTGAGGGAGATTTTCATCACTAACATTTAATTATGTTCATTCTGATCTAATATTTTTTGAACTCCTATGGTTTTTACACCATGTTGAGTGCAAAACCTCAATTCTTGCACTTGAACATTTAAAGGAGTTTGAGGTGTTTATCATATTTTAAGATAAAAAATAACACTTTCAGAGTTAATTGTCACGAAAGTTATCTGAAGTAATGTTTTAGGGAAATACTATGTCCCGGTTACTTGAGTGTAGTGTGACTGATCATAATTCATCAGTAAGAGTTGATGACTGACTTCTTGTTTTAAATAGAACTTTTATATATTGCTAATCATTATGCCAACCCTTTTAGAATACTGGTATAAAAAGCATTTTTGAGAATGATTGAATCCGTGCAAATATGTCTCGAAATTTTCCTAAACACGCTCATCTTATTAATGATTCTTCTTTTTACAAAATAGGGAAACACTCGCACATCCGTTACTTATACTACCATTCCAGAAGTATGTGCCAATTTGTCTACTGTTTGTGAAGTGTTTCTATCTGGGTTGAATTTTTCAAGTAAGTAATTCATTTTAGCCACTAGATCTTATGAGCACATTCTCGCTATAGATAAACAATCATATTCACAAATGATGTATATTCTGGTTACTTATTTAGATATTTTGGCTAATTCATTAGTATATGGTCGTAGGTCTCCTCGAATCATGCCTTATATACGGTGAAATCGCTGGGTAAAATATCTTGAGTTTCGATGTTGGGTCTTATTCAATAAATGGTAAATCTATAGATGAAACTATGAACCTCCACTAACCTTGATGATTAGGATGTATATTACACAGCTCCATCCTCTTAGAGCTACTCATTACGTTAGTTATTTAAATTAATGTAGTGAAAGAAAGCTAGTCAGGATAAATCAGCTCACCAAATCACCCCATAAAATCAAACTGTTGACCCGAGCCATGTTCAAAGGTTTAGACTAAATTAATGGAACTTTCTTACTCTAGTGCATTTTGTTACGTATAAACTGTATTGTGCAAGCTTATGAACTGCATTTTAATAAAATAACGTCATTTTAAAGGATGTAATATTCCATCTTTTTAAATGATTTTTCGACTACTGTCTATCTAGTAGATTCAGACTTTTTTATGTTAGTTCATCTACCACCAGTTGCTTTGTTGTTATTTTTCGAAATGCACTTTCTTACCTTCATTCTCATACGCTAATTTCTTTAAATCGTTATTCTCGTCTTCTAAATATTAGGAAATTCAGCTTGTTTGGGTTGGCGCGAATACTGTGAGCAGGATTACAAGTGGATTACATATAAACAAGTAAACTGAGTCACATTTTTTATTATCCTTAATCCTTATCGGCATAGCTTTTGTTGGCAGTATCGGTTTAATTTTATATCTTGTTGAAAACACACGGTAGCTTACACTTTCTCAGTCACTCAACCACTTTCGAGTGAAATATGCCACACATTAACCAGTGAACAAGTGTTAAAGACGAAGTAAGTATGAAGCACAGATCCTCATTACTTTAGGGTTATGTATGGTTGTTCCTAATTATTGAACTGAAAATTCTTGGTAGCATATTTATAAGACACAGATTCGCATAAAGCCAATGAGTAATCTAATTTATTAATGTGAAGGGCGACCCAAATATCTGTATTTATTGATGGCTATTCGGCTTCAGCAGTTGTTCACTTCGTCCCAGAGATCTACATAGCACTACGAAATTAGAGTCAAGCACGTTACATTATATTATTAGCTGATTCCCATGCAAACGCCCACGTAGGTTTAGAGTAAGTCAAAATCAAGGAACTAAGGAGAACTATAATGCGAATACTGAGCTTAATTCGACAATGTTTAACTGAATTTTAGTTCACTGTTGAAATGGGAAAACGGTGGTAAAGTAACGTACTTAGGGTTGAACTGAATGATTCTACAATTACTATCAGTGCACATACCTAGCATTATCAGTCAGTCAGTCAATAACAACGTTGAACTTTGTACGTACGTACGTACATCAGTTCGAGTATCTACCATTATATGTAAACTTTTATGAAATAGGAATCGTGGATATGAAGTTTGAAAGTGATTTGAACACGCGGCCATCAGTCTGTTACATGTTAGTAGGAAAAATGATAATATTTAGAGGTTTTTTTTTCTTACAGCAAATTTCTAGTGCATAAGAATTCATAACAAAAAGACGTAATTTTCCGTTATCACCCTTTCGATTTTTTAAGTAATAACTATGACTGTCAGCTGAAAACCTAAATTATACTTTTCTCAATCACTTTCATATACTTGTACCAGTTTTACTTAAACAGTAAATGCCAACCCAGTAATAATATCAAGTCATTTTCTTCAAAATATTTTTATCCCGTATTATGCATCTATGCATCTATGTCGTTACTGTTACCATTAGAATATATTAGTGTTTATCAATAAGCAGCATAGGTTTTTGTTGATATGAGACTTTCTTTTTATTCTTCAGATGTACTTTAATGAGGCTTTATCTTTGCCATAATTTCTATTTCTTATATAGGTGAATGATAAAATCGGTGTTATACGATCCGCTCTACATGCTTTAAAAACCAGAGGTTCATATGAAAACCTCTTTGTTGGTATTTCATCAAAAAATTCACCACAGGTAAGTCACTTTAATGTCTACTTTTCATATCGTGGAATAACAACTGAATGTTTGTCTACTCAGAGTTTATTCACTGAGTAACTCATTTCTTTCTTAAAATGGCAGGTCTGTGGATTTACTCAGTTTTAAAGATAGTTCGCAACGCGGTTCGAAATTAGCTGAGACAATGATTGGAAACCAGGGAGCATTATTTAGACGTCTCATTTTACTATGAGGTCTTTTACTAATGCATACTCACGACTTCTCCGGATGTCAAACGTAGACCAGTTATCACAGAAAAATACTGAGTGTTAATCAAGGTTGTAAACATAGACCATTGGATGCCAATTTACTGGTTCACTAGTAACAAGGCCTGAAGATTCTCGATTCGTTTCTTTTCGAGGTTGCAGCTGTACATTTCCAATGTGTTTTGTGCAAAGACAAAACACCTCTCTAGTGCCTATTGATTTTCAATAGTTGTTTGGCTAAGGTAAATTTACAATGAAAACTTACGTTCTCCTATAAGATAGGCTTTCTATAGGTTGTTACATATGTAAAGACTGTCTCACTACTTATGTGAAAATACTAAATAAAATTTTATGTCTTTTGAAACCTAGATATCTGTTGAACTGAATTTTGCTAGTTTTAGAGGGTTATATCAATTTGTGTACATGATAAAATCCCAAAGAAGTTAAAAAAACTACATCTATGCTAAACAAAAGTTAGCTTAAGTTTTTAGTTATCACAACCATGGTCTAATGATGAATTGGAGATATTACACCAATCAGGCAGATAGTTTCATAACTTTTCATTTAACGATAGTATCACATCCAATTGCCTTGGTTTACCAATGACATAATTCATTAACGCGACGGAAACACTAGTGAATATTCTAAAAACAAAATGTCTATAAACAACACATTAAGAATGTTGGTACCGTTTTCTTCCCAGCCTTCTTATGTTTGGAGTATTTACGTCCCCAGATAAATTTTTTCTTTGTGTCCACTGACATCCCACATTTTAAATATATTTGGTTAGATATTTCTCAAACGTGAAAAGTGTCATGTTACTTCTCTTACTTTTGGCAAACAAAACCCCGATTTCAGGTACCAGGTTTACCGCTGCATTATGACCGCCTAATGTGGTAACTCGTTACGTATTAGTCAAGCTTCATCTGCAACTATAATTTCCGATCGAAGCTGCTACCTTGACGCGGTGGTCGGGCTTGCCTATCGTGATGACCCAACCGAGCTATATTGGCTGGAACATATGTTCCTGCAGGTTCTACCATGCCAGGCAGATCGATTGGAGAACGGTAAGACTAAAAGCAGCAACTCAAGGTCTGAGGGCGAAGTCGTACTGCTGACTGTAGAGAGGTGTGACAGCAGTAAGGTGTTTCCCTCGGACAACCAGCATGACAGCGATGCTGCCTTCCCACAAGGAGGGGTGGGGTTAGAAAAGGTCAACCCTAAAAATGTCACACCTCACCTTACCTCACGGATTTCCGTCTCCGGCGGTAAGGCCGTTCGAAGAACGGAGCTAACACGTCAAAAACCTTCCACAAAAAGGCCGTGCGCGACCGGCCTCAAGCAGTTGTCCCTTGGGCTCTACGGTCAGGCTCCCAGGTCGTCAAAACCAACACTAATCCAATTTCCTTTTCAGGTTCCTCAAGAAATATCCTTCCACGGTGTGGGCAGCCGGGAAGTGATATCAGCCCTCATACCCGTAAGGACACACGAGACCAAGTTGGTCACATTCAAATCCTTCCTACACCTCCTAATACCACTCTTATCTCCCCGACTAACCCTCCTCACGTCCTTTTTTCACCTCGCACCGCTAGAGCAAACGATTCGAGTACGTGGAACGCCATTCCTGGTCTCCTGAAACCACGCTCTAAACTACACGTAGGAGCTTTTAACGTACGAACACTGTGCCAAATAGGACAACAGGCTTCCTTAGCTAGGACTTTAGAATCTCGCGCCATCGATGTGTGCTGCGTCTCCGAAACGCGCATACAGGATCCAAGTAGCGTCATTCATTTGACCTCATCATGCCAAAATAAAGAACCGACTCGATTTACGCTTCGTGTATCTGGAAGCCCTGATTCTGCTTCCCGTGGCCTCGCCGGCGTAGGTATAGCATTGAGTCCTAGGGCAGAACTAGCTCTCTTAGAGTGGACCCCAGTAGACAGTCGTTTGTGCGCTGTCCGGCTGAACGGAACAATAAATACAATAAGGGACACTCGTCGTTGCCTCTTCGTCGTCTCTGCCTATTTTCCCACTGACTGCAGCGCAGATGATGTAAAAGATGAGTTTTACAGAAAGCTTTCCGAACTTCTCCGAAAAGCTAAGCGCTCGGATGTAGTAATAGTGGCCGGTGACTTTAATGCTCAAGTAGGTAAACTAAGCGATAGGGAAAGACACCTAGGCGGATCTTATGGTGTCGTGGCTCAAAGAACAGATAATGGCGACCGTCTGTTGCAGCTCTGTTCAGATAACCGCCTGTTCCTTGCAAATACTAACTTTAAGCATAAGGAAAAACACCTTTTAACATGGCGACCCCCTAATTCGTCCCAACGTTGGACCCAAATAGATCACATCGCTATCAGCCACCGATGAAGGGGCTCGATAGAAGACTGTCGCTCATTCTGGAGCACATGCCTAGATTCAGATCATGCTCTAGTACGAGCGCGTATTTGCTTGCGTCTTACTGGACGTAGGAAAGACGCTGCGAGGAAACCTCTTAGGGGCCTACTTAATGATAGACAAACTAAGAGTATATTTCAGTAACAACTAGGAAAACAGTTAGGCAGCCATGTATGTGATGCCCACCTTGAGGCAGCATGGAATGATGCCCGAAAAGCTGTGGAAACAGCAGTGATATCTGCTAGTACGATAACCCGTAAGGTTAGGGAGCAACACTGGATCTCAGCATCATCTATCTCACTGATAAATGCTCGGAAACTCATTCCACCTGGTTCTGAACATAATGAGGAGCGTAGTCAGCTTAAGCGCAAGCTGACAAGAAGTCTACGCAACGATCGCGAACAGTGGTGGGTAGCGAAAGCAAGAGAGATGGAAAAGGCAGCGGCAATAGGTAATAGCAGACAATTGTTCAGACTCGTTAAGGAAACCGGAATTAGGAACCCGACTGTTAGCGAAACAATCTCAGAGAAAGATGGACATATTATTCATTCTCAATCCAGGAGATTGGACCGATGGGCAGAACACTTGAGGGATCAGTTCAACTGGCCTTCAGCCACACTTCGGTTTCCCACGATCTCCAGTCAACCTGAATGGGAAGGTAATGTAGGTCCTCCGACTCTTTATGAAGTTGAAAAAGCCATAGGAAATCTGAAGCGAGAGAGAGCAGCAGGCCCTGACAGGTTTATGCCTGAGATTTTTAAGGATGGCGGTCCAGTATTAGCAATGAGATTAATCGAGGTCTTAGGTAGAATTTGGGAACTGGACGTAATCCCATCTGACTGGTCTCAGTCACTGATTGTGCCAGTCTATAAAAAAGAACAAAAGTCCTCTTGTGACAATCACAGAGGAATCAGTTTGACTAATATTGTGTCTAAAATATTAGCTTCAATAATACTTCGACGCCTAATTAAAGCTCGTGAAGAGCAGACCAGAGAAAACCAGGCTGGTTTTCGACCTGGACGTGGTTGTATAGACCAGATATTCACACTACGTCAGGTTCTAGAACACAGACACGTTCAGATGCCCCACAATCGTAGTATTTCTCGACCTTAAAGCAGCATTCGACTCTGTTGATCGTGAGGTTCTATGGCAGTGTTTGTCACTGAAAGGAGTACCAAAGAAGTGCATTAACCTTATAAAGGCTCTCTACTCGAACGCAACTGGTAGAGTGAGAGCTTATGGCGAACTGTCATCAGAATTGATTACCTCAAGTGGTGTTCGTCAGGGCTGCCCACTCTCTCCATTCTTGTTCAACTTCGTCACTGACGTACTTTTAGAGATAACACTCTCCTCATCTAAATTTCCAGGGGTTGAAATTGTACCGGGAGATTCACTTGTTGACTTAGAATATGCAGATGACATAGTTTTATTTGGTGAAGACGCTGACAATATGCCGAGTCTTTTGACCACTCTAAGCAACAATGCAAGCATGTTCGGGATGCGATTCTCTCCCTCGAAATTCAAAATGTTGCTTCAGGATTGGGTTACATCGACATGCGAACTAGTAATAGGGAGTGAAGTGGTTGAGTGTGTCGACCGTTTCACTTATCTTGGAAGTCTCATCAGCCCTTGTGGTTTAGTGTGTGACGAAATCTCAGCACGGATACAGAAGGCTCGACTAGCTTTTGCCAACTTGCGTCATTTATGGCGCAGGCGAGATATCCGTCTATCAACCAAAGGACGTGTTTACTGCGCAGCAGTTCGTTCCTTCCTACTTTATGGCATTGAAACATGGCCGGTAAGAGTATAGGATATCCGTAGGCTACTAGTATTTGATCATAGGTGTCTTCGAAACATCGCTCGTATATCATGGGACCATCGAGTAAGTAACACAGTTGTTAGGAAACGGGTACTAGGTAAGGATGGCAAATCGATTGATGAAGTGGTGAAACTTTATCAGTTGAAATGGCTGGGACACGTGTTACGTATGCCCAACGACCGACTGCCTCGACGTGCGATGTTCAGTGGTATAGGAGTAGGTTGGAAGAAAGCTAGGGGCGGCCAGACCAAAACATGGCACAAGTCCATGAAGTCACTGACAAGTGAACTGAGTCATGTTGATAAGTGTAGACTTCCTGGTTGGGGACCGCGAGATGATAGCAACCGATGGTTAGAGACCCTGAATGACATGGCTCAAAATCGTTTGCAATGGCTCAGGTGCTTCCACTCTCTGTGTTCTCCCAAATTCTAATCTTCTGAATTCTTCATGTCCCTTTTTTCCTATTTCCAAATTTATTTCACTGGATTATACTCTTTAAATAACATCTCCAAACCCTAATCTTCCCGATTACTGCTTATACTCTTATTACCTCTACC